GGTGTATAGATAATGGATGGATGGATGATGTAATATCAAGGTTTTAAGGTTACTTTTAGAAAAAGAGTGCTGAATAATCCAAACAAAAACTACGTTTGTTTCAGTCTTTTGGTTTGTATTCAACATCTTGGTGTCTTCCTCCTCTCTCAGTTTTATTAAACAGGTCAGCAGCTTTTGTCAGCTCAGAGCCAAACTGAAGCTGATTTTATCTGACCAGGCCCTGGAACCTGTTATCCATGCTTTTATTAGCTTGCAGCTGAACACGTGTAACTCCCTGCATATGGAACTGTAAGCAGACTAAAGTTGGTTCAGAAAGAACAAAAAAGACAGCACATCACTGCAGCTCTGGCTCACTTTTTTTTTTTTAACCGATAAAATGAAGACTAGAGCCGTAAATTATACTATTTGATTTTGAACCCCCTGATGGTTTAACTCCACAACACATTACCAACATATGAACTCCATCCTTACAGTTCTCAGTCCTGAACTCACCTCAAAGCCAAACACAGCAGAACCTTTTACTGTTATTGCACCAAAGCTCTAAAAAAACCTCCAGTTGCACATTCAATCCAGTCCTACTATTGGCAATTTCAAATCAAAATCCAATCCTTTTTTCCTCTTTGCTTTCAGTTGTTCCCGAAGCAGCCTGAGTCATGCTCAATCTTAGTTTCATCTTTCTGCTGCTTTCTTATTGATCGGTTGCTTATTTATAGTCTGTTTTCTCTTTGTCTCTTCTGCTTTTATAGTTGTGCCTGTTCTTTTTTATCTTGCTAATATACTTTACCTTTGTTCTTGTTGCTTCATCTAAGCATTTATGTGCCACTGATGCATGTTTTTAACTTTGTGCCACCTCTCTCTTGTAGTTTATGCTTCGTCCTCTGTGTCGCTGCACATTTCTGCAGGTGTTTCTGGTCTATTTCAGGTCTAATCTGGTTCCACCAAAATGTCCAGTGGTTGTTCCTCTGCCTGAGCCTGGTTTTGTGTTCAGTTTTGTGGCATCTTAAGCTTCATTTTTAAGTTAGCCAGGTCATAAATAAGACTATATAATACTGTTGGGTAAATTTGCAATCAATCCATCTTTCTGCTAAATCTGCTATTTAAATTATGGTGACTTGACGAGACTTTTGAGGTCAAAAAGTTGTTTTTTGGGGGTTTTTTTGTATTTTTTTGTATTTTTTTCTAAGAAATTTCTGGAGGTATTTTTGCATTTCAGTATGAAATTAGAATGACTCGACAAACAAATGGGCCACAGAGCAAACCGGTGGATAAACACAGTCTAAAACTCCACATGTTTGGTCACAGGTGCAGCTTGTTTCGCTCTACATTCATACGAACCCATAAAACTTTCACAGGTTGTTTTATGGAAACCTGACTGGCACGATAAGGCAGACACACGCCGGTAATCACGGTCGCGGCTTGAACAAATATTTGTCCGACTTTATGCTCCTTTAGATAATCAAAGGTTAAAATATTGTGGCGCGATGTTTGGGTGCAGACGGACAGATGGCAGATACAGTGCAGGACAGCTGATACAGCTTCAATATGAATGAATGGATGTGAGTTCGTTCAGGTAACTTAATCTACAGATCAACCTGTCGGCGGGCGGACAAAGACTCTGCTGCTGCAAGAATCCCCCAAAAAACAAGCTAAATATTTTATTTGTCATGTGTTAGGAGTGAAAGAAAGATTTAAATTAGTCAAATTAGACAGAGTTTGGGTGAAGTGTTTGCTGCTGTCTGGACAAAAACTATATTTCAGAAAATACCAGAACTATCTAAAAAAAAGCATATTTTGTACTATATTTTGTTCTAATTGTGGATCTTCAAACCTCTTTTTCTTATTTGCACATTTTAGTCTATAAAGGCCACAAATTGCAAAATGTTATAGATATTACAAGCATATGTTTCTAGACCAACCCATTTCTAGCTAAAACACATTGTTTGATTTATGTCATTTAGGAGGCCCTTTGTATCGAGTTACACTGAGAAAAGCTTCTACTAATTAGTCAGCCCGCACTGATAGAACAGAATCAGGAAATAGTGTAAATAAAAATCTCATTCTGAAGTAATTAATGTACTTTATGTCTAGTTTAGGCACATTCGTGTGGTGAATGCGTGATTTATCTGGTGCCTCATTGATAGATAACAACGGAATGTCTCACTGAAAACGTTCAGATATTTTCTTGGAAGTCATTTACACTTTCTAGGAATCTGAGCAATCTGTGGATGCATCTTCCTGCTCTAATATGGTGAAGTGAATCAGAGGCACAGCGCAGCCTGTGGGTTCAAGGAAGGCATCCCGATCGTCGCTGACGTTAACGTCTCTGGTTTCTCTCTTTGTGAATCTGTAATGAAACCCTTCGTCAGGCCTCTCAGGGATGTTTCTGGTGGCTGTTAGGAGTTTTCTGCAGATGTTTCAGAGTCTAATCAGGCGCTCGCCGTGCACCAGGTGGATCTTATCAAGAGGCTGAAAGCTCTGCTGGCCAGCCGGACTGCAGCTCTCATGTCACGTTATCGCTGGATCTCTTCACTAACAACAACAACACCACCCACAGACTGAAGACTCTGCTCTGCATGGAAATGTTGAAATGCGCGAGGAGGGGAAATGAGTGTTTACACCCTGTTTAGTGCTTTACCCCCCTGGAGCTGCGTGTGGTGGGATTTTAACTAAAAATAAAATCAAGTTTTTCCATTTTTCACTGCAGATTACTTCAAGATTTTCTGTGTTGAAATTGTTAGAAAGTTGCAAAATAAACATGTTCTTATACAAGAGCCTACCGTTTGTGTTTGTATGTGTATATATGTATATATATATATACACACCAAAATGTTTGTGGTTGTGAATACATTTATATATACTTTTTTTTTTAACCTTGTTTTATAGTTTAATACCTAATTTGTTGATCTGTCTTTAAGCTCTGTTCTGTTTTGAGTTTTTCATCATTTACATTTTTCTCTCAGCCTTTCTTGTGTCTGTATTTGAGACACAGATGAGTCCCTCGTGGCTTTTCAGTTGCTCTGAATAGTGCAGAATTTGTTTTGTGTTTTACAGAATCTTTTGCAAAAAGTGGGCTGCAAGGTGGTGCAGTTGGCTAGCACTGTGGCCTCACAGCAAAAAGGTAGCCGGTTCGCGTCCCGGTGGGGGCACCGGGATCTTTCAGCGTGGAGTTTGCATATTCATGTGCGTGGGTTCTGTCTGGGTTCTCCGGCTTCCTCCCACACAGTCCAAAAACATGTTGAGGTTAATTGGTGATTCTAAATTGTCCGTAGGTGTGAATGTGCTTGGTTGTCTGTCTTTAAGTGTAGCGCTGCTGGCGATCTGTCCCCTGCCTTCGCCCTAAGTCAGCTGGGATCGGCTCCAGCCCCCCCGCGACCCTAGTGAGGATTAAGCGGTGTATAGATAATGGATGGATGCTGCAAAAGTTTGTTTTTAGAGAATTTTTGAACAAGACATGTAGACTAAAGCGATCTGGATGAAATCTCACAATGTCCGATTAGATGAATCTTCCTGCCTCACTGTATGTCACACATGATAGTTGATGGATCCTCGTAAAGTTGAACGTTTTCCTGATTCTTTCTCTTTTTACAGTTTCTTGCTCTGTTAAATTGTGTCGTTTTGATGATTCAGTTTCACTAAAACACACCTTTCAAAAAGTTGGCAGGTTTGAGGGTTCTGTTTGAAGTGAAAAGTTACATTTCTAACATAAATTCTCATTTCAAAGTAATCATTTATCATTTTGGAAGCCACTTTTATTTACCTCTAACATTTAGTTGTTCCATGATGGTTCCTGGGTAGTTCTGGGAGTCTATTTTCTTTCTCTTTCTGAATAACATCATCCTTCATAATGGCTATTCCCCAAGTAGTTCTTCTTATCTGCTAAGTGCCTGTGATTAATGCAAGTAGAAGGGTTTCATGCTCTTCTTTATTCTCACCGCAAATGACAAAATGATTAGTTACGAAGGTAAATCAAGCCATCTACGCCCTCACTTTGCTTCCAAGAAACATAAAATGTACAGAAACACAGTTCTGCCCTTGACAGCAGCAACACAGAGCTGAAACTGAAGCAGTTTACACAGCAGCAACTTCAGCCCTTTGACTTTGGCCGACATCCAGTCTCCCGATAACAGCCAGACACACACGAATAAAGACACACCCCGAGGGAGATTCTTTTTCTGCTGTAAATATCTGTGCGAACAAAAAGTGTGTGTGGTGAAGTGTTTTGTCTAAAAAGGGGCTGCATCCGCTGGACACCCCCGTCTCTGTTTTAGAAGTCACGCTTGTGGAGGACAATAGGAACCTCACAGCGATGAACAACACACACGCACACACACACACACACACACACACACACACACACATCCACTATACAATACTTACTGCATATTTGAAGGAGAGGTTGTATTCTCTGTCATTGGCTCGGAGTTTCCTCTCCAACTCTGATTCAAAAAGACAGGAAGGAACTACTGTTACTATTTCACATGTATCAACTGATGTTATCATCTCAGCATTTAATGTAGCGCATTTTATGCAGCACAGATGTATAAAATAACCAAACTCCAAACCCCAGCAGTGGCCGGGTTTAGTCCCCTGACAGAAAACACCACATAGTCTTATCATACTAAACAGTACATGTGAATTTGCACCAGACTCTTAATTATTAGTTGTCGATTTGAAGAAGAAAATAATCCATTAATGTTTATTTTGATTCATAAAAATGTGTGGAAGTCATACAAAGTTGGAGAAAATTAAACCTGCTAGACGTCAAGATGTTAACGTCACCATAGTGAGAATGTTGGTGTGTACAAGGTGTGTCAGAAGAATTCAAGGACTGGTGTCACAAAAGATAGATTTCAAATCCAAACTACAAGTTTTCCATCCAAGTAATCCCCCTGGAGTGTAACACACTCTCCCAGCCTTCTCTGCCATGCCGCCATGCACTCCTGGAAGGATTTTTCCAGGATCCTCCGCAGCTCTGTCGTCACAGCCATCTTGATGTCGTCCACGTCTTCAAAACGGGTCCTCTTGATGACCCCCTTGAGCTTGGGAAAGAGGAAACAATCCCACGGGAACCAGGTGGGGTAAATAGGGAGGTTGCTCCAGCACGGCAATGTTTTTCTCAGCCAGGAACTGTCGGATGCTCAGGGCATTGTGAGCAGACGCGTTGTCATGGTGAAGCAGCCACGACTTGTCCTGCCACAACTCTCGCCTCTTCTCACGCACTGAACGAAGCAAATACCGCAGGATCTCTTTGTAGAAAACTCGTAGTTTGTAGTTTGGATTTGAAATATAGCTTTTGTGACACCAATCCTGGAACTTTTCTGACACAACTTGTATATATGAGCACGTAGCTTGTCCTAGTCATCGGATTTAGTGACCACCGGATGTACACAACTTTTCACTGGTCGTTGAAAGATACTTTGAGTGCACTATATAGGGTGTTCTACATCCATCCACCCCCTTCTGCTTATCCAGAGTTGGGTCACAATGGCAGCATAGTATTCCAGACTCCCTCTTGTGAGGTGTTCCCAGGCCACATAAGATGTATAATTCCTCCAGTAAGTTCTGGGTCTGACCCTGGGTCTTCTCCCAGTTGGACATGCCGAGAAAACCTCCATAGGAAGACGCCCAGGAGCTATCCTAATCAGATGCCCAAACAACCTACAGGAGAAACTGGCTGGCTGGAACATGGGTCAAATGTAGACCTTCCAGCTTCCTCCATCTTCCCTACAATGGTACAATGCATCTGTCCATCTAGCGCTCCATTTTCCCAACACTTAACAAGATCACAAGATACTTAAACTCTTTCACTTGAGGCAGCAAGTAACCCCCAACCCAGAAGGAGCAATCCTCAGACTTGGAGGTACTGACTCTCATCCCAGCTGCTTCCCACCTGTCACAGCCCAACAAAGCCAACAGAACTATATCATCTGCAAAAAAAGAACACTGAGGTTCCCAAACCAGATGCCCTCCTCACACGACGGCAACTTAACGTCCTGTCTATGAATACAGAAACAGGACTGAAGATGAGAGGCAACCTTGGCAGGGTCCAACATTCATTGGAAACGTGTTCTTGTAAAAGGACAGGATGGCTTGTAGCAATGGCCCCAGTGCTCCGAACCTCCAAGTCCACAAGACACATCTGGTTTTAATGGTCAAACTCCCACTATCCCTCCAGCAACTCTGCAGAAGTGGGTCTAATATTCCACAACAAAGACAGAATCTGCATTGATCGTCCAGAATCTGACGTTTCAGAGATTTCATGTGCCGTCAAACTACAGCGTTGCAAAGCTACTGTTATCATGAGTTAGAACGAGGTGTCAAAATCTTCAAAGTCTTTCCATTTCGGAGAGATTTCACCGCCACCCACGATTGCTTTTATTATGTTTTTCCACCTGTGTGTAGCTCCTGCACCTCCGTCTTTCGTTCCATTGTGGGAGAATAACACTCATCAACAGCAAACCTTAAAAATCTCTCATATCTAGTATCTGCACACTATATATTAAAAACCCACTTGGAAAATGCATAGTGTGACATGCAAATCACCTTGTTTTCTTAATTTTCTATAAGAAAGTACAAGCTATCAACATTGCAGTAAGGCCTTGCTGTGCAAACTACACCATCACTCTTGAGGCAGTTCACTATTCTGTCATTATAAATCACAGATGCAACATTTATAAAGTACTTGATTTAGCTTTTATGTACCATCATTCGTATTGACAAGAATCCAAATAACGAAAGCACGAACAACAGGGTTAGCTTTGTTTTCTGTTGTTTTTTTTAATGCATTAAAGTGAGTAAAAGTTCATGATTTTTGCCGTGATGGTGATAAAAAGAACACCAGGTAGAGATGAATCATCTTCAGGTATGAATCCTACATGAATGTTGGTCTCATTTTAAGCATGATGCATGAAGATAGTGAATTGCATGGCAAAAAAAAGCAAACAGTAGGCCACAAAATTTCAAATATATTGCCTTCAGGGGAGCTTATTTCTTTTAAAGGTGGCACCTTGTTTAGGAAGCTGTCTTTCTGTGGATTACACGACATATTACATGAGTTGCTAAATTTAGAAAGTTCTTTGTAAAATCAGTTTAATGTGTTTTCCGTGCTGCCTAAATGTAAGTTTGATGAGGAAGCTGTCACCACATAATATGACAAAAACAATCTCAGCACAAGGTCCCTTCAGCTGGAGCTTACACTCATATCATATGGTCCTTCTTTTTAAGATAAAGGAGACAAATTGTCATAAAACTTATTAAAAACATTAAAAAAAAAACTCTTCAAAAAAATTAAAAACATTAAAAAAAAAACTCTTCAAAAAAAGCCCAAAGCTTCCAGGAATCTTAAAGTGTCTTTTTCATATTTTAGAAAATGTTAGCAGCAACATTAGAGATGCTAAATGTTGTGGCATCTGCTGATTTTATTTTTGAAGAACTTGAGCCTCCACCTGGTCAAATCTTACCTCTCTCTTCCTTCCTGAAACAGTCCAGGCCAAAGAACGACATCTTCTTTTCCTCTTCCTCCCTCTGCTATCTGTCCATCATACCGATCTGTAAAGGAAGGAGGGAAAGGACACGTCTGAGTCGCCTTTACGGAGAAATAAACTCACATCTCACACTTTAAAGTCCAACATCGCCTTTCTCCAGGAAACACACAGTTTAAATGGCATTCCTGTTGAAGGGAGAATTCCTGCCAGCCGTCATTAGGGCATTTTCCGTAATGTGCTCTATGAGGTCATCGTTTCCCATCGAACAGCTCTTTAAACCTTTAAAACGCTTTTTTTTATTTCTGACAGGAAGAGACCAAGTGGAGAAGGTCGAGACATCGAAACGATAGGCGCTAAAGGTGTTTAAGGTTATTAAACAAAAGCTCTGAGCTTTGTGTCTGTCTGCGGCTATTGAAGACAAACAGTCCTGCTCTCACTTTCCCCCTTCCTTCCAAAACCTCTTAGTGCAGGTTTACATCAGGGCTCGAGCCCCTTAATGTTTTTCCCATGTAGGGCAGACTGACTCAGAGGGAGGCTCCCCTCTCAGGACAGGCATGCAGTCCTTCACTTACCCAGGAACCCTGACAGAAAGAGGGCAGAGCCACGACTGGCCTCCAGGTCTCAGCCGAGTGACGGCGACACTTGAAAGTGGCTGCTGGTAGCACGACCAATCTGGTACGAGTAGCTGCTGATAGCAAATCTAAATCTATCTTCAAACATCGTGCAAGTTGACACACTAACTGAACTGAAATGTGGAGATTTTGTGCAAAATCAAACAAATAATCTGTTAAGGATACCTGTCAATAAAGTTGTTATAACATACCAAATGTCTTGTAAACACAAGTAGTGTCTGTTATAGTAGGAGGTAGCTATTGTATATATACTTATTAGTTATTTGCCTGGTTTTCCTTTATAGCAGTAGTGAAAGTCAATCAGTTATTTGGGATATTTTTGTGACACAGATGCATGTGTTTCAATGATTATATTCTTTATTTTATTTATTTATGTATTTATTAGAATGCTTGTTTTTTTTTTTCCTTTTTGGACTTTGTAGCAACAACATATAGTCGTAATTTTAATTTCTACCTCTTGAAAGTAAAATAATTTTTAGTGAGATCAATAAAAATGTCAACATCTGATTAATAGCAAGACAACTGAAAATATAATTAGCAGCTGTGCTTCTCAGTTATTTAATGTTAATTTGCTGTTGTTGAAGGAGTTTGTTCAAACAAAACGACAAAAAGGAAAGAGATAATTACAGGGATGATTGCTATTTTTATTTCTTCCATGTTTTCTCATAATCTTAAATCTCTAAGCACTTTCTAAAGCTTCAGAAAATTGTCATGTGAAACAACCTTAAGAAGAAAAACATCTCTGCGATCAAACGTATAGTTACAACTTGTTATTGGGTGTGGTGACGCATCGTACAAGATAAATGACGCCTGATAAGTTGTGGTGAAAATGTTATCGGCACGGAAAATTATTCAGCTGCAACTTTAAATGCAGCAGATGATAGACCTAATAGATTATCTATCAGCTTCTCTCTCACAGTTGTATTAAGAGTCTATAAACTTGCTGTATCATCTTTTCTTCATTATCATTAAACTAAACTGGGGGCAGTAATAGTGAAACTGTACAGAAAACTCCCACAAAATGTACAAAACACAATGCAGGGAAAACAACTTTCTGAGTGATAATGTGGTCGTAAGTGAGGAAACAAGTGTGTGTGTGTGAGCGTGTCACACATGAAGCAGTGGTTTTTGAGATGCCGCCTTTTAGCGGTGGGTGCCAAGGTGACGTCAGCGTGGAAGCTATAAATATCTACCACATGAATTTGATGAGGAATGTGTGTGTTTTAGCAGGAACGCCAAAGTCCTGGAAAAACACACACATACACACACATGACGACATAATGACAACACGGGCCAGACAGTGTGTTTACACTAAAAGATGAGAAAACTTGAAATTTCAATTTCAACAAACTATGAAGATAAAGAGCAATTTGAACTTGATTTTTCAGATTCAGAGTGTTTATTTCTGCTAACTTATCCCCACATTGTTTTACAATATCACATCACAGCAAGTTTTTGCACTTTAAGTTGATGTGACTCTGATCCAGATCCTCAATTTGTTTGATTTTGATTTGTTTCATTATTTATCGACTCAAACTTTGTCCCTCGTGTTTTGTTGTACTGTTAAAGACGCCCTCAGGTAACAATGTCCACATGGTGTTTTTATATGCTGGAAGTCAACTCCATGCCTATATGCAGCGTACCAATGACACAAAAACATAGATTCAGACTTTCATAGGTAACGAACCTAAGGAAACACACTTGATCATCTTGCAGGGTGGAACTTTCTGCATCATGAGGGAACTTTCCACTGCGGGATCTCGGGGCAGGTGCAAACGTTTACCAGAACAGCCTCATAATCGACTCTTTCAGCGGTTCTGTTTTCATTGCTTTAGGACCAGACGGCATCAACCACAACTTTAACTTTGACTTCCTTCAAAACAGTGACAACTAGTAGTTACTGGACATAACCCCAGTCCTCTGAACATGAATGAAATGGAACAATGTAGAGTCTGAAGTATGCTAAACCTGCAGTATGTACTATTTTCTCCCCCTGAAAGAGGTTCAAGATTCCCTAAAATGACTTCCAAGTTCCTGCAGTGGAAAACAACCTGTTGTTCTTCTTCAGAATCGGTTTCCAGCTCAAACTGCCATACATCTATTATCTATACACCGCTTAATTCTCAGGGACACCCTGGACAGGTCACCAGTCTATCACAGGGCTACACTTAGAGACAGGCAACCAAGCACACTAACAATTTAGAATCACCAATTAACCTCCACATGTTTTTGGAGCTTATGGGAGGAAGCCAGAGAGCCCAGAGAGAACCCACGCTGCACGGGAAAAACATGCAAACTCCACGCAGAAAGATCCCGAGTGTCCTCACCGGAACACAAACCCGCGACCTTCTTGCTGCGAGGCAACGGTGCTAACCACTGATCCACCTTGCAGCCCCCAGTTCAAACTTGTACAGCTGAATTATTTCAACATTACAACTTGCCACTGTGGCGTGTGAAGTTTTACAGTTTTTGAATGGAGTTGTAAGTAAGCTGGTGTGCTTGACATGCATCATGTGGGCAGGAGTGAGTGGAGAGACAAGCACAAACTTCACAGATCTGCACAGTGTAGAGTTACATCTGAAGCATGGAATTATTTTACAGTAAAAGACATCTATGCATCTTTGATCCACAGAGATGAGTCTTTAGGGGCTTAATCAATGAGCAAAGGGGGACCTTAACAGTCAGAACAAACCCAGGACTGTTTGCTATTCAGTGTTCCCTTTATGATTTACATAAGAAAGTGGCAGGGAGCGTCATTAAAGGATTTCTGCAAAATGCATGCCAGGAAATATATGCAAATTGGTCTAAATAAGGTAATTTGTTGAGTTAAGTAAACAGTTAAATGGACATTTAATCATCTAAACTCAAGATGTTAAGTTCTGAAGGTGCTAATTAAACAATTAAACTTGACAAACTTAAATCACATGGAGCTCAATGAAAACCCAACGAGCGCTGAATGAAACCGAATGATTTCCTCCACAAGTCTACGGAGCTTTCTCGCTTCGTAATGAATCACAGATTAGGATTCAGAGTTATCAGCGTCCCTTCACTGAGATAAGAGGCTGATTTCATTTGGTGGAACAACTAGTGAAACTCTTATCTCAGTGATAAGTGACTGGTTTTTAGTTGCTGTTCTGCCAAATGAAACCAGCCTTTTACGGTGGAACAACGTTTTCCTGAAATACTGTCTAAGGCTTGACAACTTGTAAATGAGACACAGTAAGTTGTAGGGGGGGTTTTCCACATGTGCTCCCGTTGCGTCTTTGTTTACATGTGCAAACATTTACTGTGCGGAGACGCTGGATGCACACAATCACACTTATAACCAGCACTGGAGGTCCCACCAGGAAAAAAAATGTAAAACCAACAGTCCACCCATTCATCCACTAAATTAACATCTCAGTTTATTCCTCGGACAAACAGAAGCCACGTGAGTCGACACAGAAGGAAAAAAGTGACATTTCAATTCATGGTGAAGGTTTTTACGAGGCTTTAACTCTAAATGTCAAAGTGTGAGGATTGCTGAACGCTGAGGAGGCGCTTCTCCGTCACAGGTTCTTGGTTTTGGCAGAAACTCAGAGTTTCCAGGCTTCACTACGCTGCTGACACACCACTGCTTCCACTGAGTTAGTTGTGGAGATGTTTGGAATAAAGCTCTCAAATTAAGCGGAAATCATTGTAGAAGTCTTTATTTTATGCTTGGTTTGTAGACTTTTTACACCAGAATGTTACCAGGAGAATTTAAAGGATAATGACGACGAAATTTGATTATTTAAATGTCACAACTCACAAGTATTATTTGGTAATATGGTTTCTTACAACCCCACAGTCATGGCAGATTTATTCAGTTCCTTTACTTAAGTAAAAATACTTAAATACTCAGTAAGATATAAAATAATATAATATCTATAGTACATTATATACAGCTAGATAGTGCAGTGGGTGCCAGTGGGTCCAAAAGATTACATGAGAAATCTTAAGAATAAAGTTTGACTGCAAAAATGTAGACTTAGTTTTGGACTTTTTTTAATAATCATAACTGTACTGTGGTGAAATATTGGATATTTTTAACCTGTTCTGGCTTTAGAAGCTACTTAAATCTCTTCAACGCTGCTTATTCTTCTCCTATCTTGCCGTAAATGTAAACATTAAACTGTTACTTTGACAAATATTTTCTTGTTATGCTGTAAGCTGGAAAGATACTGGTTTGACGTTTTATTTGAAATATTAGATTTGGAACTGGACATGGACCCAATGTTTCTCCTTCTTGACTTTCCAAGCAGACATGTTACCCTAAGAAACTAAGGACTTTATTATGTCTTTATTTATGCTGCCAGGATGAACGTTCTACTGCACCGGATCAATGAAAAAGTTGAGGGTTGGCAGAGAATACTGGATTATTTAGTGTCACTGACATGTACTACACCTTCAA